TGGGTTGCCCCACGAGAGCCCGGCCATTCGACCGCGGCGTTTTGGTTCCTTTTCGGCGGTGCGATTGGTGCGCCGAGAGTTGAGGCCAAGGCAGTGATCCTGGAATCTGGGCAGCTTGGCATCGACTTGCCGTGGGGCAGGTGCAAGCTGTGGTCATGTTAGGTCGTTTTGGAGTTCTTGTGTTTTTCTAGAGTGCCTCCCAGCCCCTGACAGTTTTGATCAGAGAGCCCATGCGGCTCTCCTGTTCAAAGACCCAATTCCTTACCCAAGGATCTGATAACAACTGGACTGGCATATATTGTCCTTCATCGCTTTCGCCCTTGGTTTTTGCTCCCCAATGGCCCTAGGAACGCACGCCCCCGTGCCTCCCTACGGCGGGTGACGCCCGAGCAGCTGGGTGACGCGCTCGTGCTTCCGCCAGCACTGAGCAGACTCGACTCGACCCGGTTGGGTGGCTCGAGAGCGTGAGGAGGCTGCAGAAGGTACCGAAAGCATGAGAGCCAAACACCACCTGAGTATTTGGGACTATGCCAACACCGGAGAAAAAATCAACGGGCTTAGTTTAGTATGGGGGGCTCGAGCTGGGCTTGATTAATCAGGGGAGGTTCACTAATGCTGTGAGCGCATTACATTGGGTTCAGGCCCCCAAACATGACCTGTTTCAGACTGGCATATTTTCCAATCGGTTGGGGTGGTTGCCCCTGGGGTCAATGATCCAGTCGAGCTTGACACGACCGTTGGCATGTGGCCCCATCAGGCGAGGGGTGGTTGTGGTTGTTTCAGGGGTCACGGTCAAGGTAGGTAAATTCTATACTACAGCATGAACTTCCGTCGTGTAGACTCGTGATGAACATAATCTACCCTTTTGGAAGAGTGGTGGCTTGGGCGATTTTGTGAGACATGGCGAGGTACGCATCACACGACACGAACAGTTCGTACATGTTCGTTCAGCTGAACTTCACAGCAGCTGGTCAGGTGTTGTATGGCAGCTGTCAGGTCTATCCAACCTCCAAAGGGACACATGGAGCCTGAACTAAACACACGTCGTTTCAATCCCTTTTCATCCCTTTTCCAATGCTGGAGTCATGATTTTCACCTGAGAACACTGGGCTTTTGTGTTCGGGGAAAAGACGTGAGATTAACCGTGGTTCTTCAAAGTGACCCTGGTTTGAGGTTACTTAGGCTCGGAAAAGGTCTAAGTATGTCAAAGTGATGCTTTTATCCTCTGGTTTGAGGTTACCTGCGCTCGGAAAAGGTCTAAGTATGTCAAAGTGACGAGTTATCCTCTGGTTTGGGGTTACTTAGCGTTGGAAAAGGTCACACAGGGACTCCAATCCAAAAAGGTCTCTATGAAGATATATGAAGATGCTGGATCGGGCATGCAACATGGCATAACGCCCCTGATGTCCTGCTCTTCTTGTTTCGCGTGTTGAGGTTCCGAGATGGTGTCAGACCTTTTCCTTGAGACAATAGGATTCGATGAATGAGCATTAAGCCACTCAGATCGAAGCCAACAGTTCCATGTCGGGGCATTTATTGAAGGGTATAGGGGTACCCATGATCCACTCACCTTTGGAACTAAAGACCACACCTGTCAGCTAGTCTTAAAATGGCAGCGTCATGGGGCCTCCGTCGTTTCCCATCCAATTGGAGGGCCTCCGTCCATACCGATCCTCTTTCCCCTCGTCGTCCCGCGAACCCTCGAGACGCTCGGTGCTCGGTCGTCGACGCGGAGTCGCCGCGGAGTCGCCCCCCGTGGCGGAGGATTCGACCAAGCCCAGCCTCTTCGTGCTGGACAATCTTCCCTGCGACGACGCCACCGTGCAGTTCGTGACGGAGCGCCACGCCAGATCGACCACGCGGTTTTGGGGGGAGTTCAAGTGGAAGTTCAAGAACGGGGGGTCGAAGAAGGGGTCGAAGCTGCAGGTCACCGGAATTCGGGGTGACATTTGGGGGGAAGTGGGGCCTCCCGCTACTGCAATAAAAACACCTGGAAGGTTTGGTTGACCTTTCACGGCTTCGGGAGTGAATACAGCAGCTCAGCTCCGCTGCGGTTGGGCGATTTCGGTGGGTTTCAATTGGGTCAAGATTTGGGGTACTTCTTCCCAGGTGGCCTGCCTAGATGAGAACTGCACCTGGAAAAGAAAAGCTAGCTGTGAACATGGTTGGATGACAGTTCTTCACACCATTTCACACCAAGAAACCCACTGGAAGTCGGAGAGTGTACACCTCATGACTCGTCAGATCCCGTGTCACATGGCGAGACCCGTTTCGGCTTCTGCCCCCCCGAAACTCACGCCGGCCGTTCTGTGCGCCGCCCACACCGTCAAGATGAGTGGCGGGGATGGCATGGGTTCTTGGTTTTTCTTTCAATTTTGCTATATGATATGTCTACCTTGTGCCTCCAAACACGACAAAAACGTAGGGTTCATCCCAAAACACGAGGTTCTTGGAGGAAACACGAGGTTTCCCATTTTTGTGTTTTTTTCCGCCCATGCCATCTTGAATTCAAACTCCAAAAGCCCAGGTTGATGATCAGAACGAAAAACATCTCAACCAAAAATGCAACTGTTGTACCCCCCTAAAGCCCGTGAAAAAAACACGGGTTGTCACGGTATAATCACGGGTTTGTCACGGGTTCGTCACGGGTTTGGGAAACACAACGTTTTTCTGAAAACCCGAGGTTTTTCATCCAAAATCATGGGTTGACACGGGATAATCACGGGTTTGTCACGGGTTATCGGAGCTCTCAATCACGGACCCGAACTTTTCCTGACAAGAGTGTTGAATGTTTTATAAACATATTGTGAAACATGTTTTGACCACGGAAAATTTGATAAGTCGGCGGGAGAAAATGAATATGGAGCACCTGCACATGCTATCGAGGGTTTTGGGGCAAAACACGAGGATTTGGTTAAAAACCCGAGGTTTTCCCTTATGTCACGGCTAAACCCGAGGTTTGTGTTCAAACCCGACAAATTTGTAGGGTTCAGATGCTCAGGGTAGTTATATGTATTTTTTCTTATTCCGAGGGTATTTTGGCGCTTCCTTTCAAGTTTACACTGCTTCTTGGAATTTGTTGTTCCACAGTGCATTCATCCCACTGACTGCAGCGTTTCATATGCGTTTCATAATGTCTCATATTTTGTTCATTGGAACCACCAACCATGCTTGTTGCGTTCGGTTGTGTGCACCAGTCACTGGGCCCAGGCTTGCAGCTGTCCGTAGTCGCATCGTGGTGCAAGTGGATGACGGCGCGCGGCGCACCGCGCGTGGGGTGTACGAGGGGCGGGGTACTTTGCAAGTAATGACGGACATCTCCACCAAAGGGCAATATATAGTATGCAAATGACATCGCAAATTAAATGTCTAATCCCCAATATCATGATTAATTACAATCATCATGCGAGAAAAGTGTAAGCACATAAAGAATGCAGCTTCGGTTGCAACGCCTGGCATTCCAGATCAGCTAGCTATGGAATGGCGAAGTGTGGTATGGGTTTGGGTTGGTCGTCGTTGTTGTTGTTGTTGTTGTTGTTCTCAAAGTCGGTCCAACTCTCTCTCGAAGAGGAAGAAGCCTGTTATAGAAGAATGGCGATTCATTTGTCGTTGAATTGTTCTTGTCCTTGCTTTTAGTGTTGTACATGTGTGTGTGTGTAGCAAGCTTTTTGGGAGTTCACAGGGGTTCTCATGTCAGACACCGCCTTTATGGTACATCTCCTATCCGATCCATCGATGACGCACTAGTTGGTTGATTAATAGAGGGGATACCCCTGGACAGTACAACCAATAGGTATACGGCACCCGGCATCGGCCCCTCCATTTCACAATCAGCATAACACACACACACACAGGTTGCGACGCAGCAAAATGGCTGGAGCAGCTGCCACGGCATGGTTGGAGTCGAGCAGAAGCAATCCCAGAGATGGCGCTCAAGCAGCTCTTTCAGGCCGAGTTGGCAAGGGAGACTTGGATGTTCTTTGGGTTCCCTCCACCCTGCCACCTCCTCAGGAACAGTCTGATCATGAAAAATGAACATCATGGAATTAATCATGGAATCCGGCGATATGATGTTTGCTCATGATTAGATTGATCTTCACTGATGGGGAATGAGCTGGATTGGTGAAGGTAGTTTTTTGTTGAGTTTCCTTCTCTACTCCCTGGCAGTGCCTGGCAAGGAGCATTTCCTTATGTCAAGGTCCGATCAGGATAGGCATGGCGCAATGGCAGGTACCTTCCAGCATCTCAGGTGGGCGCAGGCGGAGCCCTGCAGGTGGCTAGCACTTGCCTGGCCAACCTGCTCTGAATATGTTTTGATACATTGTGACACATTGTGTATTAAGAAACTAAGTATATGCTGCCCCTCGTGCCTTTTTTGCACAATAAGTTATTCACGCTCTGAGTGCTGCTTTGATCATCATCCTCATCCCCGTCGGTGGACATGATCGATTCCCATAAACATATAGCCTGAAGCTCAGCGATCTACAGTGACGGACACATACTTAGAACCCCATGATTTTTTCCAAATGATGACACTTCCACACTAAGAACCCTTTCGCCCTGTGAATACTTAGAACCATCCAAGAATTGCAGGCCAAGAATACTTAGAACCCCAAAAATTCATAAGTATGAGTCCGTCACTTTTTTGTATATGTTCCCATGCACTTTCGAGTTCGGCCCACAGCTTCTGGGCTTAAGTGGATGGCCCACCGACCTTTGGCCATTGGAGGGTCCGCAGGCGCGTTATCCTCCTTTGCCTTTGATTTGCTCCGTTCGAGCATTGAGGACCAGCTGCCTGTTGATTCCTGTGCTTGTTCTCGAGACACGTTCGAGCTGCTCCTGCAAGAGCCCCGTTTCTGCTGGTTTGGACTTGGCTTGTTGGTTGGGTCCTTAGGCGGACCGCTGTTGGACATCCTCTGGCTGCTCCGTCAACGCTGGCGGCGCTGCATTTACTACTGGGTGTTTGGCACTTCGGCCCTGGCTAAGTGATCGGGTCGTGTATGGAACGAGAGCTGGAAGCTTTGCGCACCGAGCTCTCATTCCTTCGAGAGGACTTTCGAGCCCTCTCTGCTCGAGTTGAACGTCAGGAAGATCGACTGTCAGAGCTGGCCCGACGTGGCCCTTCGTTGAGCTATTCCCAGGCTGTGGACCTCCACGAAGGTGTTCCTTACGCTGCTAGCAGTGGGGTTGGTTCTACTTGGAGTGTGGTGCAAGAGCCGGAGATTCCGGCCGATCGTGGTGGCCCCTCCGAGCTGAGCTGGGCTTTTCGTGAGCAGGTTGCCAGGGAGATTGGAGGGTTCATTCGCCGTTCTCTAGACGGCGCACCACGCGGCCTCTCAGGTCGCGAGAAGACCCGACAACTCGGGTCCAAGTATTATTTGATCGCCAAAGATTTCTCAGGACAGCTTTACAATCCCATCAAAGTTGTCACCTCCTACGCTGCTGCAAAAGAGCTGTGTGCCCGGGCTGGGGAATTTGGAGATTCAGTTTTTGTTGGAGTGCCATCGGTGAGAGAGGGACGGATTGCAGCCACCGCGGCAGGCCTTGACTGGCCTGCTTCCGTGGCTTGATGTCTTCGCCTTTGGAAGAGCTTGACGGTGACGCCGGGGGCCGTCAAGCAGCGGAGGATTACCCCGGAGAGTGGGGAGCCTTGCGGGATCACCTTGTCCTGGATCTCGACGGTTCCTGGAACGAGCACTACGAGGTTGGTGGTTTTGAGCTGGAATCCATTAGTGGGACATCAGTCGAGCTGCTCGCTTTGTGTGTTCTAGAAGATAGAGTTTTGGTGGCCGTGCCAAAGGAGGCATGGGATCGAGTTCGTGCCAAACGTATTTTGCCCGCTCAAGCATTGTCAAAAGCATTGTTGTGCAATGTGGCTGCTATGGATGCAGACGAGCGCTCACCTGTAGCTGGCGAAGAGCTCAAAGTATGGGTCGGTCTTCTGGCTCCGCAGTTCGAGAAGCAGGTTTGCTATCCCTTCGTCTCAGTTCCAGCTTACAGCTTTGGGGGAGGAGAGACAGGTTTTCTGTTGCCACACCCTGCAGGGCTGCACACGTTGGCAGTGGAGAAGTTCCAGTTTTTGTCAGCAGAGTCCGGCGAGCCTCAAATCGATGCTCCCGCCCCATCGGCCGGTGCAGACGACCGTTTGCAGCGTTTAGAAGAGATGGTTTTTGCTATGCAGAAGAGCTTTCAAGATTTCGTCGATGCTGGAGGGGACGCCAAGGCCAAGAAGGTCGCTCCTGCCCCAGCAGCTTCAAAAGCAAAGGCTGCTCCTCGGGGCCGGGGCGAAAAGGCCGAGCTGGACGCGGGCGACGGCCGGAAGGGGGTCTTGAAGAATGCGGGCTCGAAACCAGCTCAAGCTCCAACTATGCAGCATTTGGACAATGGGGTTGTGTCAGCGGCTCTCGCTGCGGGCATCCCCGCCAGTCATCTGCAAGAAATGGATCGTCTGGTTGGCTCGAAGCCCAAACGTCTGGACGATGCACCTCGTCCTCTTGCCCGACCGCCTACTACGTTGTCCGAGAGCGAAGAAGGCCAAGACGGAGAGGAGGAGGAGCTCGACGACGAGGAAGCTGGCGACTCAGTGGGGCCTGTAGAGAAAGCTGTGCTGAAGTTGACAAAGATTGCCCAGACCCTTGCAGGCAAGAAGAGCAAGACGGACCAGTCGATCGAGCAGGTTTTAGATGCTGGGTCGGCCGGGAGTTCCGAGATGAGCTCTCTCGGGTCGAAACGCAATGCTGCAGCGCTCAGAGCACTCCAACGACAGCTGAAGGACAATCCTGGATATCTTTGGCGGACTCTCGAGGCAAACATGCAGGCGGATTTCATGTCTGTGCCCGTTGCTCCCGGAGAGCCATTGAAAGAGGGGGTGTCGGTCAGAGGCTGGCTGACGTCGAGGTCAAGAGTGCAGCTATACCACAACCATGTTCGTTGGGTGTGGCAAGTCGGTGCGATTTGGGATTGTCTGATAGCTGGAAGAAACGACGAGGCGCGAGCTCGCGCTGGGTTGCTAGTTGCTGCAGCGGATCAATCCGCGATCGACTCAGGCAGTTGGTTGATCGCCAGTGTCGGTTTGTTAGAGCAGCCACCCCCATTTCATGCATTCAGTGCTCACCAGCTCCCTGGCCCGAGCGATCATCAGTTTTCTGCGCTCTCAGATCCACGGTGGGTCGACTTATACCTGGCCCATGTGAAAGACTTGGAGGCAGTGCAGGAGGCCAAGCGGAAGCTCGGCAAGAATCCCAAGACCGACAAAGACAAGGACAAAGAAGACCGCAAAGAAGACAGGGCTCCCAAGCCGAAGAAGAAAGGCGCGGGACGAGGCAATGGAGGAGCAAACGAGCCCAGCACGGGCTCGTAGAAGTGAAGCATGAGGTTGCGCTGCCTTGGACAGAAGCCGGGTCTATGGCAGACAAGGAACAAGTTAGCCGGCTGAAGAATTCATCGTTGACAGTGGTTCCGGGGGAGAGGGCCTCCTTCTTTTCGGGCGCCAAGATTTTGCAAGCACAGCTCCGGTATATTTTGAAGTGCCGATGCAAATTTCCGTCGTTTTGCAGAATGTTTCTTTCTTCCTATTCCACCCTGGATGTTTTGCCCTCCGGAGAGGCCGGAGGTACAGCTTTGAGTTTGTTCCCCATGCCCTTGCCGTATAGAGAGGCGTCATTTGCTGCAAAAGAGGAGGAAATGCCTGACCGAAATGACCTGCCTCGAAAACAGGCCATGAATGTCATTGTGCTAGCCTTGAACTTCCTTGCAGCAGGGCGGAGTCTGCAACCGCCTGTTCTGATGGGGCGCCGCCTCAACCCGCGTCAGTGGCGGGCTGTGAGGCGGATGGAACTGTTTCTTGAAGCTTGGTTGCATGTTTCACCCATCGGTCCCTCTGAGATGGGGAGAACAGCTGGCAAAGTTGAAAGCATCGAAGATCAGCTGCTCGATCTAACTCAGCGGGCCAAGATTTTGTCGCAGTACAAGAATCAGTATTTTGGAAGTCCCGACCTTAGTTCTCAGAAAGGTGACCCTAACGTTCGTAGAGGCACTGTGGTGGGCCAACTTGCCTTTGACCCGATGACCACCTTTAAGCCGGTCGATCCGTCCCGTTTGGCCTTCACTGGAGTTCCTAGTTTCGACCCTCGTTCGTTTTTGGACCCGGTTTGCTGAGAGCTTTATGAAAGACCTCTGGAAAATAGGATCGATCCGGATAGGTGTTCGGAGAAGCCGCCACGAGTTCGAGTGCATTGTTCCCTAGCTTCCAAAGTTAAGTTGTTCGAGCTGCTCGACGCCTCCGGGCGATTAGATCTGCATCCTCCGAGAGCTGTGACACCTGGTTTTGGAAATGGACTTTTCTCAGTGACCAAAGATTTGACCAGGGACCGTTTGGTCCTGGACGCTCGACCCGCAAACCTGCTGGAACAACCGCCTGGACGATGGATTGGGACGCTAGCAGGAGGAGAAGCGTTGGTCAAGCTGCAGTTGCATAAGGGAGAGGTCCTCAGATGCAGTGGTTCGGACTTGCGAGACTATTACTATATGTTTCAGGTTTCGCAAAGCAGATCCAGAAAGAACGTTTTGGTTGGAGCTCTTCCTACAAAGATGTTGACCCATTTGAAAGCATGCAGTGCAGAACTTCACTCGTACAACAGAGTGTATGGTTCCCTGAAGTCATTGGCCATGGGAGATTCGTTGGCGGTAGAGTTTGGGCAGACAGCTCATCTGGGTATTGGTATTCAAGCCGGAATCATTGACCCCAGCAATTTGTTGACCTATCAAACTCCGCTGCCTCGGAGCAGAGATTTCTTTGGCTTGGTGATAGATGACTTCGTCGGGTTTTCGATCTGTCAAGCTGAATGTCAGGAAACCACTCCTGCTGCAAAGGCGACTGACCGGATAGACCAAGCCTATAAAGAAGTGGGCCTGGTTTCGCACCCTTCGAAAGCGTTCAGGGACGAGGAAGAAGCTTCCTTCTGGGGAGCTGACATTGATGGCCGACGAGGCATTGTCCGAGGTTCTCTCAAACGTGCCGTGCCACTAGCAGGGTTGCTGTTCAGAGTTGCTACATTAGGTTATGCTACTGGTGCTCTACTGCAAGTGTTGGCTGGATCGATTATTTCGTTGTTTCTTTATCGCAGGCGGCTTTTGTCAATTTTGGATGGAGTGTTTCAATCTTACCAATGTTGTACAAGCCATGCCATAGTGCGGTTGGACAGTCGAACGAAGTCAGATCTTTTGCTTGCAGCGGTGCTTCTTCCTCTAGCGGCTACAAACCTGCGAGCCCGTTTGAGCGAACGGATCACGGCTACAGATGCCTCTGACTGGGGAGAAGCCGCTGCCTGTGCGACCATGCCTGGCACCCTGGCTCAGGAGACCTACCGTAGTGTTTTGCGGAAGTCAGTCTGGGCGCGGCTCCTTGGCCCAGCTAAGGCTTGGTTGAGAGGCAAGGGAATGCTGGACGTCGCTGAAGAGTTGCCGGAAGGGAAAGCTGCATTTGAGCCTCATCCTATTTGGTCCTCGCTTGCTGCATGTCTACAGTACAACTTGGTGTTCAAGAGAGCGAAACGCAGACCTCGGCATATCAACATAGGCGAAGTCCAAGCATTCCTCAAAGCAGAAGAGATACACGCGTCTAGGCGACCTTCTACCAGAGAGATCTATGGCATCGATTCCCAAGTAGCCCTAGCTGTGCTTTTGAAAGGCCGCAGTTCATCATCAGCCATCAACAATGTTTTATCTTCCTCGCTGCCGACCATGCTTGCTGAAGACATGTACGCCGAAGGTGTTTTCTTTCCTTCAGCACTCAACCCTGCAGACGACCCTACACGAGGGGTGGCCCTGAGGAAACCGACAAAAGAACCTCCGGTCTGGTGGGATTGGCTGCGTTTGGGCAATTATGACTTGTTCGACAAATGGTTGCTTGAGAACGGGTTGGACGGATTTGACCTAGCTGGTATTCCGCCCTTTGCTGAACTCAACGCAGGCAAGGAGCTGGTCCGTCGTGAAGTGCATGAGCAGCCAACTACGTCGGCAAGTTCTCCTGGAGCTGGACCCGTTGAGACCGCAAAGGTAGAGCAGACTGCCACACGTGTTGGGGGTGCCAGAGAGAGCAATCTCAGTCCAGTGGCGCAGCAGTTGTTGAATTCGTGGCCCAAAGATCAGTTTATTTTTCCCCCCGGGGATAAAGGAGAGTTTTTGGACCCAGGATACCTTGATCTCTTCAGTGGAGCACGTGGGGTAGCAGAAAGCTGGGTTCAGCAAACGAGGAGGTGGGCATTGTGTTTTGACATTGAACATTCACCTACAGAGGATCTAGCAGATTCCAAAGTTCGTTCATTGATTTGGAGTGCATTGGAGGCTGGAGCGTTTGTTGCAGTTGGCATGGGACCTGTGTGCAGCAGCTTTTCCTTGGCCATCACCCCACCGGTGAGGACCAGGGAGCATCCAATGGGCCTTCCTGAAGTCAGTGAGAAGATGCGAGAGAAAATAGAGCTGGGCAATTCCTTTGCGCTCTGGTGTTTTGACCTGCTCCGGAGAGCATGTCAGTTGGGGCTCGCTGCTTGGCTGGAGAATCCGCATACGTCCTGGATGTTCCGCATCCCGGCGTTTTGGGACCTTCTTCAGTCAGTGCCAGAGTTAGGCCACTGGGTTGTTGACTATTGCCGGTTCAATCGCAGATGGCGGAAGAGGACCAGATTTGTCTGCAACACTCTCTTAACAGGCCACAAGACCCTTTGCACCGGAGGGCATGAACACATCTTGCTCCGCGGGCGCTCGGCCTTCCACCGGAAGAGTTGGACCATGGTGGCTCAACCATATCCACCAGGCGTTGCCTATGCAGTTGCTGCCTCGATGGCTTTGACGGTGGGGCTACGTTCATGGGAAGGTCGATTTGACCCTGCTGCATGTGCGAAGATCACAAACTGTCGTGTTGGTGAAGCTTCAAAACCTGGTCCACCTCGCAAAAACAGAACAGAGTTGCTGGAAGACGTGCTTTTGGTCGAACCAAGGACGGCAGCACTGCAGAGTACAATTTTTGCTCAGTTTGTGCAATGGCTAGAAAGCACGTTGTCAGAAGGGGCACAGCAGAGTGTTTTCAGACATCCAGCATTGTTGGTGCAGGTTGCCAAGTCGTATGCTTCGTTCCTTTACTCGTCAGGCCGATCGTTGTACCAGTTGAGACATTTGATCTTAATCCTGCAGCGTGAATTTGTCGAAACCAAGTTGTACACCTCAGTTCTTTGGGACATGGTCAGCAGGTGGGAGCTGTTAGAACCGACACAGCACTGGACACCTGTTCCAAAGATGGTTTTCAGAGCTATGGTCAGCACTGCACTTTTGTGGAACTGGGAAAGGACAGCTGGCATAATTGTAATAGCTTTTGCAGGGATCACCCGCCCAGGTGAACCCCTTCGTGCACTAAGGAAGCATGTGGTCTTTCCAGGTGATGCTCTGGAGCCTGACCGCGAGTCGATCTATCTCATCGTCGATCGACCCAAAAGCAGGAATCGAGGGACTGGACGAGTTCAGCACAGTTCGATTCGAGATAGAGAATTCTTTGATTTCCTTTTTCATGTTTTTGGGCCGTTAGAAGCCGACCAGCCGATTTTCAATGCTTCACCATCCGCCTTTCGTAGACGATGGGACGCACTACTTAAAGCACTGTTTATCCCTAAATCTGCCGGGTTAACGCCTGGGGGGCTCAGAGCTGGAGGATGTGTCAGTGCTTTTCAGGAGTCGATGGACATCCGGCTTCTCATGTGGAGGATGAGGGTCCGCCACCAAATAACGTTGGAAAGCTATTTGCAAGAAGTGACAGCTTCATCTGTGATCCCTGAATTGGAGCCGCGTTCCCGCAAAGCCATTGCAGAAGCGGCCAATGTACTGCCTTTTCTTTTGAGCCGTTACACACGTTCTCGCACTGCCAAAGGTCCGTGATGGCCATCCTTGGCCTCGGTGCACAAGGAGTTCTCCTTTGGCCCGGTGTAAGAATGGAAGTTGTGAGCCCTCAGTTGAGGATAGCTTGGCCTGCCGGCCTTT